TCAAGCAATTTGCTGGTCCAATGATGAACAAAGGCTGCTTAGACCTTCTTTGGCAGGGGACAGCCTACCAGAGACAGACTAATTTAGGTTTCAGTGCTGGTACTAAGGCCTGGTCTACACTATATGGCAATGTCCAACTAAGGAACACAACTCCATCTATGATAATACTGTAGCTGGAGTCGATGTACCTTAGATTGAGTTTTTATGGTGTTTGCATTGTGGGGGTCTCAATGTGAGAAACTGTCCTGTTAACTGCCCTGATGCTTCTTGATCCAATGGAGTAACTAGGTCAATGAGTGTGCAAACAGCATGGTCAATTTAGCAGGTCCCTACTAGATGCACTAAATCGACCTCTGGTGGCAATTGAACCCCACAGCACGTATCTCCTGGTAAATTTAGATGAGGCCTGAGTTTGGGCACTGAGAAAGGAGCACAATGGCTCTGGGAGTCTAGAATTAATTCATAGCCACTCACTAATGTGAGTCTGATCTGGTTAAGATCAGGGAGTCCATCTCTGCAGAGGACAGCATCCAGAAGGGAAGAAGTCTGATCCCCTAGCAGGTACCAAGAGCCAGACAAGACATCTGTTGGATTCCAGACTAGGGAATCAGGAGAGGACCCTGTCTTCTCCAGACGGTGAAGAAACTATAAGAACTTTGTTGCTTAAGCTGGCCACAGTGCTGCAGCTCTCAACTCTTGTTGTATTCTCAGTGCACCATCTGCCTGAGGTGGTGTCAAGGAAAGAACTGGGTGTTGGAAACCATTATGATTTTGGGGAATTTGATGAATTGTTAATATCTAGTACTTATCACTAAACCCAACACATGCTAGAAACTATTCAAACTATTCCAGAAAGGATTGAGCCACTCCTCAAGGCAACATTTAAAATAAAATAAATAATAAAAAAGCTTGATATGGCACAAGATGCAGAGAGAATGGACTTAATTTTGAGTAACAAAATATTTAAGGCTTATTACTCCAAACCACTGAAATAACATTTGAGTTTTATTCCAAATACAAGTGTAACCGACCGTAGCAGCATACAGAATAGGAAGTTATGTAAAATATCATTTAAATTAGATTTTTATGATATCTGGGCAGGTGGAAAGTTACTGCCAGGAATTGAAAGGGGATGACTTAGACAATAGTCATTGTATACTAACCCATTATGTAACTTGAATATCAGGGTTACACATGGCTACACTTGCCATCTGACTGGAACCAGGAAATAATTATTTGCCTCTAAATAAACAGCTGCTGATTTGTTACACTGTTCATCCAACACACTTACATTTGTAATTTTTTTTTACTTCTCTGATTGCATTGAATAGGCACAACTTTGTATCTCATCCAAGATTTGGTACCTCTGACAGTTACGCAGTGCTCCCAAAACTTTGCTGGGACATTGATTCTCTATTGACTTGGAGAGAGGAAAAGAACCCTGCCATGTACTACTAAATTAGCAAAACCAAATCTATCAGCACTTAGAAAATAGACTTCTGAGCTCAACCTAAGAACAGATCTGCACCAGTATTGCTTAAGCTGCAAGGTCAAAAGGGAATTATAGCCACAGAAGAATAGCTTTGAAAAGCTGGAGAAACTGGCAGAAGTATAAAAGTGTACACAAGTGGAATCAACTTTTTTCATAGTAGGAACTATATTGATTTTTGTTCTCATTAGTGATTTGAATTTCAGAGGATGGAAGTAAGATATCATTCTACAAGAAATTACTATTAAAATGGCATCTCAAGTTCTATGCACTTAATAAAATGTATAGAACTTAGCCTTAACATTATTCCTGGAACAATTTTCCATAATAACTCAGTGCCTTCATTTATACAGAAACCCATTTGCTATTGTGTTAAACTTCTGAAGCCAATCAGGAGCATTACTGCTTATTAATTTTAATGTTATTCCTTTCACTTTTGATGAATAATGTAACTGCTTCGTCTATTTTAACATACATGAAACAGAATCTGAAATTATGACAACAATAAAAAGTAAATTCTCTCTCTTTATGAAACAAATATTTTGAAATTTTCTTTTTCCTATTTTATATATCATTTCTTTTTACACACCACCAATTAAATGGCATTCTTGACTATACACAGAAACTATGTTTCTTTATCCCTTACATTTACACCACTTGGCCCTATTCATAAACTTAGTTCTAATAATTGTGGTTAATACCTGTGGGCTTCAATTCTAGCACTTTTAAAACAAAAAGCTGGAGGAACAGGCAAAGGTATAAAAGTCTGATCACTGATCAGTGAACAGTGAACATCAGCTAGCTTTGATGTTTCTGAATTAATTGTTTTCATTTTTCTGTCTGCCTCTGATCTAAGGTGTTTTTACAGAATAAAAAAATATTTCTGGGACTTCTGTGACATTAAAGGGCAGGCTGAGCAATGGGATGCTGTAACTACACTTATATACCAAGTACTGAGATAATAAATGATCTTATTCACACCTGGAGATATTTTCAATTTTGTTCAGAATACAATATTTTTAAGTATTGTCAAAGAGATTAGATTTGAACAATCCCCTCATGATCATTATTAGTACATGTCTCTCAGTATTATCAACTCAGTTTAAGGACAGGCTCTGCTCTGCTCTCATCTGCCACAGACACAAACACACTTTTTGCATACAGAACGTGTAAGTGATAGTTTTTAAAGGTCTGCATGTTTTACACATTTCAGGAAGTCCTGAATGTTATGCACAACATTTTTTATTGCTCTGAGAATTAGCAATCGGGAATCCTATCATTCCTATTTTCTGTCAAAATTGTGTACCTATCCATCCGTTATCCCAATTCAGCAGTGCCTTTTTGTTTCTTTAGGCATATGCTTCACCCAAATCTTTGAGTAAATTGATTAGAGATTGTACCCTAAAGTATTTTTCCAAGCAGACAATTATCCTTATATTTACTGTGAGGTAAGATGGACCCCACTGGAGACAGTACAGGGTACATAGCATAAGCGTTGTGTCAGATATAGTATAATCTTTACTCACTGCTGTAAGCTGTCCACTTTCACATGACCTTTTTTAATGCCATCAACTTACAATGAAAAAGGTTACATAAGTCTTATCTATGCTCCCTCACACAATTCCCAGTGGAGTAACAGTCCTTTATCAGCCACAGTAGGAATTAATAGATTGTTCATCACCGACCACTCCCTTTCCTCAGAGAAGACTGTTCAAATTGTGACTGGAACTGCAGAGAAGTGGGGAGAGAGGTAGGAAACAAGAGCCATTACATTGCTTCCCTGTAACAGGGTGGCAGTCACCTTATGCAAGCACTCCCATCCGGCCAAGCATGGGTTCCTGCACTGCCTGATGCAGAAAGCCTCTTTGGCAACTTACTCCTTCAGCTGAGTCACACTCCTGCATGTCACACCCCACTTTCAGGGCACACCTTTAGTAGTGCCCCCTGTAGAGTTTCTCAGAGTCAGTCTCTCAGTCTGTTGCCCCACTCCGGATGAGAATGGTGCCTCTAGGTCTTATTCTCCTGGAGACAACTTTGCTCTTACCTCAGGGCTTTATCTCATGAGGATGCATCTTGAGTGCAGGGTTTTTTCCCCAGAAAAACAGACATTTTTTCCAAAAAAATTCACTTGCATCCACACTGCTATTGCATTCTTTTGAAAGAAAATCAAAAGAACACAGAAGTTTCATCTTACATTGGTAAACCTCATTCTACGAGGAAGAACGCATTTTCTGAAAGCTCTCTCAGAAAAAGGAGTGTGTGGATGAGGAAGGAGTTTTTTCGAAAGAAGAGGCCTCCAGGAAAAAGCACAAGGGCCACGGTGACCACTTCAACCATAGTAATCACAGCTTAAATGAGAGAACATCTACACTAAATGGATGCTATCTTTGAAAAAAGCAGATTGATTTTTCGATGCACTTTGGCAAGGTGGATGATCTCTTTCAGAAGAAGTTTTTTATGGATGATCTCTTCTGAAAGAAGCTTGCGGCCTAGATGTATTCTGTCTCAAAAACTAGTTCACTTTAATCCACACTAGCTCACCATATGAAGTTTCCCATATAGCTGCTGATCCTGTAGCCAGCTAGTCACTTTTTCAAGGCTTCAGAGGCATTGAGCTTCTGTTGAACATTCCAACTCCTTTTGTAAGCTTGCTTGGCCCCCGATTGGCTAGTTTCTTCTATCCCACTCTAACCTCCTAGAAGACTTCTCTATGGCCCTTTCTGGACTCAGAGGTTGATCTTCCCCATTACATTCCTACACTAATCATAGCAAGTTGGCCAAGCTTGTCAAGAGGGGACAGTAAGATACATTGCCTCTTTTTTTTTTTTTTTTTTTTGAGTAAATTATTCCCTCTCTTCACAGACCCAGGCATGTATACACTGCCATCAGAGAGAGTGATTTCAGTACATGTAGCCATACCCAAGCTAGTTTTGAATTAGTTAGCCAAAGCAGTGAACCACAAATGCAATGAAATCATAGCACAGGACATTCCCTTGAATACACCTCTCAGGATTCTGTAATCTGTGTGGCTTCACTACTATTGATACCGGAACTAGACAGATCAAAGATAGCTTGGTTATGCCTATGTTACGAAGTGGAATTTTCGCCCACAGCAGTCTAGAAATTCAATATTGTTGGTTCCCACAGCAACCATGCTGAAGCAACATTATATGTTTGGCATTAAAGGAAATGTATAATGACATTTAAAGAAATACAAAATATCACAGTATGCACAAGCAAGCTGTTTAATGTTGCATTCTTGAAGATTCTTGCATTTTCTACTCTACTGAAATAGCTGGAGGTGAGATGAGAAACAATTTAAATACATAAAAAAGACATTTTTACTATTTTAGAAAAAAAATAAAATAAAATTTCAGTCATAAAAGTTTCTTTAAAATGATAATACTACAAATATTCAGAAAGTAAAGTCTTTCAGTGTTACTATATAGTGTAAAATATAAATAAATCTTTCAACAAAACAATACCTTACCCCAGGTGTACAGTGTAGAGAAATGGGAGTGGCTGGGAAAATGCATTGCAGTTGAATGTCCTCGTTAGTAATGTGGATGCTGTCCTTATCTACAATCTGAGAAAAAAATGGAAAGGGCAGTTCTAGTATGATCAGCCAACCCAGACTCTGAATCAGCACCATGTATTCAAAGCACAACCATAGGAAGAAATATAGGTAACTGACAATCAAATGCCCTGGGTATTTAATGATGTCTGTCTAGGGAGGATATCTGTTGCTTTTAAACATAGAGGTTTTTTTCTTAAGAATGCCTAAGAGAACTGATTGCTTCTCCTACACCCCTCCCCCAGTCAGCATGTAAATCAGAGGAGACAAATGGTAAAACAAAACAAGTTCCATTTACTATATCTTGGGTAGGTTTCATAGGAGGAATCAATGTTTTCCGGGACTATGGAGAGAAGAGGATGTAGTTGAGTTTGACCTCACTGAAGATAGGGTCCAAAAGAAAATTTCCTCTTCGTTTTATTGGCAAGGATCTTTGGCCTTTTCTTCTTGAACTGTTGAGTAGGGTCGTTTATTAGGACCAGGTAAGTGTACTATACCCATAAAGTCAGTTTCTTTTTGTTACGGCGACAAACACTTCCACCCACAGATTTCAAAGCTCTTTACAGAGTAGATCAGTATCACTATTCCCATTTTACACCTGCTTCTCTACCTCAGTTTCCCAAATGTTATGCAGGAAGGAATGAGCAGATCCAGGAAAAGAACTCATATCTTTTGAGTTCCACTCCAGTTCCCTATCAAGTAGGCCACACTGCCTCCATATAGTATATGGCTCTTGGTAGACCATGTAAATAATTCCATAAAATATAGCACACAATTGAAACTCATATTCTAGAGGGTAAAACTACTTGTGCGTCTAGACTGACAAGATTTTGCACAAAAGCTTTTGCGCAAAAACTTGCCAGCTGTCTACACTGGCTGCTTGAATTTGCGCAAGAGCACTGACTTTGTAATGTACAAAATCAGTGCTTCTTGTGCAAATACTTTGATGCTCCCACTCAGGGATAAGCCCTCTTGCGCAAGAATACTTGCGCAAGAGGGTCAGTGTAGATAGGCACCTTAATTTTTTGCACAAGAAAGCCTGATGGCTAAAATGGCCATCGGCGCTTCCTTGCGCAAAAGCACATCTATACTGGGCATGGATGCTTTTGCACAAAAGCACTTTTTGCACAAAAGCATCCGTGCCAATCTAGATGCTCTTTTGTGGCAATACTTTTAACAGAAAAACTTTTCCATTAAAAGTATTTCCGCAAAATCATGCCAGTCTAGATGCAGCCCTTCAGTCTTAACCTCATACGCCTCTAGACTCCGCCATGTTTTCCTTGCATGAAATGCTGTGACATACAGAAGTGTCTCGATTTTCCGACATTCAATTTTATCTGACGTGCCACCAGTGGCATTATGGCAAGGGGCTCCAGGGACACCACAATGGCCTTGCCTTCTCTTTTCCTTTTTTCAGGGCTGGGTGGGAGCTCTGGCTGGGAGGTTTGCAGTGCCCTCTTGTGGTTGAAGAATTTGCTGTTGGCAAAGTCGCTTTTTTCCTGTTTCTGGGGAAAGCAGCAAGCGCCTTGCCCTGCATCATGGCTCAGGCAATCCACACACAGCTCTGGAAAATCATCACCGGGGGCTGTGGAGTGGCACAGGGTGAGGTCTGCACTCCCGCTGTAAGGCAGAGCTCCGGATTTTACTCCCGTTTTGGGAGAAATACAAGGGCGGATCAAGGCAGCAGATTCAGGTGGTTTAGAACTGGAGCCTGCAAGGTATTACAAAGGGCAAATTTATAAAATTTAAATAATTAACCGTATTAGCCGACATTTCTGCTGACCATCCTCCAGTCCTGTTTAGGTCGGATAATCGAGATTCTACTGTAATAGCTTTGTTATTGGGAATAACAGTTACCTAAGGCCTGTCCATGGAAATTCTGATCCTGCCCTAATATTAGGGATTACCAGTGGTGCCTGCTTCACACAGTAGCTGGTGCATGTTTCTCCTGGCTTCTTGCCAGAGTTCTCCATTCATGAGAGGATCCCGCTGAGTTTCCTGCTTGAGCCTCCTGATCACCACATTTTAGCTCTGGAAAATGATTGCAGAGTTGGGTTTCCCTCCCCCCCCCTCCCCACACAACAGCCCCCTTCAATCTGTATGCCCATTCCTAAGAGTTACCAACCACCTCCTTCTCTAGATGGGCTTTATCTTTTTTTAAGCCTGGCTGCTACTCCAAGAGCCAAGTAGTAAAATTGGGCCCTCATGCCTACATTACCACTTTCATCACATATGTAGGGCACACACTGAAAACACATTGATCACTATGTAAGGGTTTAATTTTCTTTGTCCATTTTATAGTACTTCAGTTGGTGGAGTTTCATTAGTGCTGTGTAGATAGACATGTTAGAAATTTGCTGGCGAGTAAAGATGGCTTGGAATTAAAATAATCTCTTAGGTATGGATAATTTTGACATCTGACTTTCTGGCAGTATTCAAGTCTATAAGAAGCTAATATGTCATCTACATCATTTCGCCAAATATTGAGCTAATGATGGCACAAGTACATCAGACATTCACCACAGCCAGCATAAAAACATAATTCAAGGAAATATTCTAAATATATTAACACACTGGTCACTATCTGTCCCCCTCTAATATTATATAAATTCATTAAAAAAAAATCTATATGCTTTTTTTTAGTTTGACAGTGAACATTTCATACTAGCTGGCTATTTAACTAGTTTTTTGAAGACATTGAAATACATTTTGTAACCTGCACTTTTCTGGAATCCTGTTGCAGAGAATCATTCATATTGCCAGTTAAGAAAGGACTAGGTCAGATTCTTAAATGGCTCATCGTTATCCAGTCATCTACACATGTGCAAGATGGATACAGAACATCAGATGAAAATTGTAATATTTAATTTCAGTTGTATAGTCATTTAAGCCTGCAAGACGAGTGCAATAGACTGGAGAATTATATCCCAGATATTTAGGATGACCTGGCTCTACTGAGTTCAAGGGAAACTTTGTTATTGACTCCAATAAGGCCAATAATTCCCTTCATTGTGAGCCAAGGAAGTGAAATGGTGAACAAATAGTAGGGTGTGTCCTATTTTATTACACAAGTGTTCATATTTAGACACAGAAGTAGAGAGTTTGGGAAATATTAAGGACCATACACACCCCAGAAAAAAGAGCAATAGTAATATTTATTTTATGTATCTTTTTTGTTTGCATGAATCTTCTCACAGTTGCACGGGAGCATCACAGGAGTTGTACTGAGATTGATTTTTAGCTTAAAGATGATGCACTTAGACATAAAACTTTGTATGAAAAATTTGCATTGAAAAGCAACAGACATATTAGATCAAGTCATGTAAGTAAGTACAAGGGCCTTCACATTTATATTGAGGCTCCTGTATACTAAGGCCACGTTAAGATTGAAGGGGGTTGGGTGTGAGCATAAGTTATATTTGCACCAACTTTAAAGTCCATTTATATATTGCTAGATTAACAAAAGCACCTTAGTACCTGAGATTAGCATAAAAGCACCTGAGGCCTTAGTTGGGGGCTTGATCTTTAACTATCATATATAAAACTAGCTCCAGTGATTTCAACAGGGCTACTTCAATGAGTAAGGCTAGTAAGATTGGAACCTTTATCAAAGCTGCAAAGAACTGTCAAAGATAAGTTAGCAGTAACAAAACATCCCACATAGCACAGATAACATTTCCATCAACTTTATCTTAGCCTTTTGTCAAGGATAAATACATAAAATAAAGCTTGTGTTCAGCAATACCTGAAGTTTTGCCTTTCACACCAGTGACACTATAGCCATTTCCCTCAGTTCAAATGCTTGAAAGAGTGGGGGCTGCTGGACTGGTTTAGAAAAAAGGGCCAGACCAAAAGAAAAAAAAAAAAAAAGATATTTGTCTTTTCAAATCACTGTCTCCAGCAATGACACTCCCATGGAAACCTCATATTCCAACCCTATTTTCTCTTCTGACTGCGTTAGGGTTGCAAGGTGTCTGGTTTTGAACTGGACAGTCCAGTATTTGAGCTTTCTGTTCAGGAAACAAATTGAGAAAATATAAAATGAGAAAATAAAAATGTACATCTTATTTAGAAAATACTGGAATGTAGATTGTGATGTAATGTCAAGTGTGTCTGGTATTTTTGTTGAAACCATCTGGCAACCTTAGACTGTGTACCTGTCCTGTCACTACTAGTAAGAACAAGACTAAGAATAAACCAAAGCTGAATAGTGTTTTGGCAAAATGCCCCAAATCATAAAATTTGGGCCTTGAGTCCACTGAAACAAAATTGATTTTAAAAAAGAAATTGCTGCTATCCAGTACAGTCCCTTTCTCATCTCTTTCTTTGTATTACTTTGTTGCTGTCCCTTGCCCCTTTTTGCCAGAAGTTGGGAATGGTGATAGAGAACGGGTGTCTTGATCATTACCTCTTCAGTTCATTCCCTCTGGGGCACCTGGCATTGATCATAATTAGAAGACAGAATACTGGGCTACATGGGCCTTTGGTCTGACCCAGTGTGGTGTTTGGATATACTGTCCTCTTTTTCATACATAAGAAACAATCAGCACTTCCAATGTACCTGAATATTTTCCCAGCTGCTATAACACTAACTTGGTCTATGTGCTGTATTTTTATGGAATTAATTACAGGTAGTCCCCGGGTTATGTACAAGATAGGGACTGTAGGTTTGTTCTTAAGTTGAATTTGTATGCAAGTCGGAACTGGTACATATTGTAGGGGAAACTCTAGCCAAACATTTCTCCAGAGCTCAGTTTTATTCTCCCACACCTCACTTCCCTCAGTCCTTTATTCTCAAGCTGAGGCCTCTGCTGAGAAAAGCACTCCGCGTCTCCCTGGTCTGCTGGGGGAAAGCAGCTAGTGCGGGGTTGCCTCACCCCGTTTGTAAGTAGGGATCCGATGTAAGATCCCAGGGACTGCCTGTACATGAAAGTTCTGAGGTCCATCAACAGCCATCATCTAGATGAAGGCAGCATGGTCTGCCTGTCAGGCAACAGGAATGGGACTCAAGAAACATACATTCTATTCCTGGATCTGCTCATTCTTTCCTGTATAACCTTTGGGGAACTGAGGTACAGAGAGGGAATCTAAGTCCTCTGTATTTCCTATAGAACTATTACTCTATGTAACCTCAATGAATCCGTGCTGAATCTTCTGAAAAATCTTATGCCTTACCTGAAAACTGTACTGGGCATCTATTGCTTCTTTCCACATGGAATCTCAAATAATTTCTCAACTCGCTGTCATCTCAGAGTCCAAATTACCACTGCCAATTACACATGAAAGAGAGGTGAGATCAAAGTTTCCTCATCGTATTCTACTATTACATTTGTTTCACCAACAGAAGAACTGCAAAGTCAGATTTCTATGACTAAAAATTGTCTGGTTCATTTTGATTTAATCCCAGGACATTTTAACAAGAGGATCATCTCAGTAGTATTGCACTATTGTATAATCGATAATGAAAAGCATTTATGGGCTGCTTGTGAATGTCAAAGGAATTAGTAGCAGATGAAAAGGGCATTTTACAAAGGGTAATGTAATGATCCACTTCAACATTTCACAAGCATTTTCCTTAAAACAAGAAAATATTGGTGAATCACATCATTTCAAGGTGAGAGATCAAAGGAAAAAAACAAAGTGGTGGAATTACCGGATTATAATCAAAATAGTTTTTAATCAAACATATGGTGAAATCCTGGTTTCATTGAAAAAAAGAGTGAGGTGGTTATGACAACATTATGAGACTGGGATTCCACTATTAAAAGTCCATTATATGCTTGTTTAGATTCTACTTTAGATAACATCTCTACAAGGGAAAACTTTCAAATAAAAACAAAACAGATAAAACATTTTCCAAGTCAAAGCACATATAGCATACAATGTCCTAATTCAGAAAGACACTTTAGCACAGGCTTAACTTTAACCATTTAAGTCAATTCCTATTCAATAACCCACTTGTGAGGACTAGGTTATTACATTAAGTAAACAAAATTTAAGTATACTCTTAAAGCTGGCTTGAAGTCATTAGGATTTAAGTAGATCCTTACAGTTAGATTTGAAGTAAAACATTCACAGAGGCAATGGGATGTTTCCTCCCTGGCAATATGCATACTGGCTCCTCCCCAACCTCTAAAAGAAATCAGTAGGAAGAAACAGTTCCTGGCTGTAATCAATAACAAGAAACATTGGCCTGGACTGAAGTCCCTGTTAGGAGTCATGGAGAACATGCCACTGTGATTACCCAAATTAAGGTTTTAACACTAAGGAAGGAACATGTAATGGAATTTGAGCTTCTCTGATCTATAGCACTTTTTGTACAGTGATTTCTACCCTGGTGAGATTTTGATCTAAGGATTTTGACATTAAGTTTTGGCCCCTGCCATGTAGCCCACTGGTAGTAGGGGTTTTAGTAATAAATGTTCTGGTAGTCCAAACTGTTGGGGGAAAAGAGAGGATTTATACCAAATATATCCTGCCAAGTAAAAAAGTCTTCAGATGAATCTCTCTTTTGAGGATTTGGAAAGCATAGATACAAAGGTTGAATCATATTTAAAAGGGTAGAATGGAAGTAGTCCATTCTATTGTTGACATTTCAGCTGGTACTGTATTAGTGCATGTAATGCATATCTGTCACTGAGTTGCAATTAATTCTGAATCAGTAGCCATTCTGTCCTCTTCCACAAACAGCAAAGAACATCAATAATATAGTCAGAGAGCCACTTGGGGACCACTCCTATTATATGCCATAGTACAAGGCTGCTGTAATATTTTTTATGAGTTAATTTTTATTCCTGGTAAGTGGTTTCATGTCAAAAAGTTTAAAATGGGCATAATTATTACACTGAAGATGGAGTTAACACAGTACCTGCTATAAAAATGACAGCTGTGTAAACATTCCTAGCTTTGCAAATGCTTTTAATCTTGTTTGTGATAATTTAGAGAAGAGAGAGGTTTTACGTAACATCATTTCAAAGGGAAGGCATATCTGTTCCTGCTACACAGATCTGTAAAACGTAATTGTGCATCTGAAACATTTTCAAAAAGAGTATAATATATCCCAACATATGTTTAATAAAAATGTAGCTACCAAATTCTATATTCTGCTAATTAAGTAAACTAGTTGAGATGAGAGGGCTAAATTCTGAGTTGAACTAGTTTAAATCCAAAGTACCTCTAGTGGCGTAACTGCAGTTCCCGGAGGCTCACAGCAGTGAAGGAAGATCAAAATTTAGCTTAGTTTCCATTATCACATGGTATGGTCTTGGCAGGCCACTATGACAAAGAGAGAGCAATCTAAGAATGGTTCAAGAGTGCCTACCATAACTTGAAAATGCTTCAACTTGGAAGTAGGAAGATAGTGAGATTTTATAGCATCTCACTATTGTGACCTACTCCACTCCAGAAGAGAGAACCAAAAAGTGCAAGTACCCTTCAGATAATGAAATGAACCAATATTATGGCAAGGGGATGGTAATGAAAGCTGTTCCTTCTATTACAGTGAGAACAGCTTGATTGCTCACCATTGAGTTTCAGTGCCAAGACCTATTTTCCAAATGGGGGAAGCAATAAAAGCCAGACGTCCTACCTATGACACAAATCGCCTGATCACTTGTTGCTGAAGTCTTCCTCCTACTGGTGGCGAAGAACAAGAGAGAAAGGGGAAGAATGAATGTGGGAAATTCCCAGAGCCCCCAAGTACTGTTTCCTCAAAGAGGCATTATGATTTGTCTCACTTATTTTTGGGCTATTTTTGCTATCGTGGCTTATACTGTAAGATGAATAGCCAGACTGGCATTACTTGATGGCATGACTGGTAGTTTAGTGGCAGAACAGGACAAGAATTGGGGAGAACTGATGTTATTGCAGACTACCTTTGCATCCTGCCCTGAACCTCCTTACTTATGCATTGGGCTGTGGAAGTTCAGCATTTTTAACAGTGATGATGTGGTAGCTGAGAGGGGTGAATGGTGCTTATATAGAGTGCGGATTTGAAGGTCCAGCTGAAGGAAGAGCATTTGAACTCATGAAGGAAATAAGCTACTTACAGAGAGTTGATTAGTCAGTAAACTACTCTGATTAACAAGACAAGGTCAAGCAGAAAAAGGATATTTGTATGATAACTGGCATTCATCAAAACTACCCCTGGAGGGGACTGTAGATACAAATTCTTTCATTCTTTCATGAGTTTTAAAAAAGCACAAGTAAAGCACTGGAAAGGAGCATCATCTCCCTTTCCCTTGGATTCTGGGAGCTACCAGCATCCAGCAGATTTGTTGGGGGAGAAATAAGTCATCTTTGAGATTCCCTGATCTATTCCAAGGAAAGTGGAAGGGGAAAATGTGCTATTCATCAACTTTCTTATCTCTTGGCTAGTAGAGGAGGGATGAGATTCTGGGGGAGGGATAGTTCAGTGGTTTGAGCATTGGCCTGCTAAACCCAGGGTTGTGAGTTCAATCCTTACAGAGGCCATTTGGGGTAAATATTTGTCAGGGATAGTACTTGATCCTGCTGTGAAGGCAGGGGACTGGACTCAATGACCTTTCAAGGTCCCTTCCAGTTCTAGGAAATAGGCAATCTCCATTAATTTGAGAGGGATGGCAGGAGACAAATTGCTTGATCATTGTCTTTGGCCTACCCTCTCTGGGGCACCTGGTGCTGGCCACTATCAGTAGACAGGATACTGGGCTAGATGGACCTTTGGTCTGACCCAGTAGAGCCATTCTTATGAGATTCTGGACTGATGTACAATGTACCAGTTTTGCCAGTACTCTGGTATAGAAATCATTCAGTCCCCCAATTTGAAAATATTAATGTCTTTGTTTTTCTCCTACTCTAAGGTGTGGTAATGTCTGTCCTCTCATTTTCATCAGCCATCCCGTCTTTAACTCTATGTTCTACATTATCTATCCTTCACAGGTGCTGAAAGTTGGAGTGCTTCCACACCCTCAACTTGAAGTCGTTTCCATTATCTACAACATTTATAGATTGTTTCAGTGGCTTCCAGCACTCCCCACTACAAATTGTTGCAGCATCCCTCCCATTCTTATAAAAAAAAAAATGAGGCATAGTATAAATTTAGTTTGGGGGCAATACCAAGATTATATTTATTCTTCTTCCCTCTAGATGCACTGCATAGCAGACCCACCCTTTTCCTTTCTTATTTTTAAAACTCTAAAGTCACTTATTTTAATGTCCTTGGTATACATTAATTCCACTTGATTTACAGCATTTCTCACTTTATTCCTACCTCCAAGTTATAGATTTCTTTGCCGATCAATCCCCTTTTCCTTCCTTATAAGCTACTTACTCCCTTTTTGAGGGGGCTAGTCTTTCAGTTGAGTCTGGAACCTTTCCCTGCATATTATTAACCAAAGGCTATCCTTTTGCAATCAAAAACCACAGTTGACGATATTATTTGATTATCCTTTTAAAAAAAAAAATTGATTCATGATAACTTAGTACAAATTTATTTCCCACTACTGGGCCTTTTTTTTTTCTGATCGCCTCTGTACTTACCAAAAACAGTTTTTATTAATTCAGTAATTATTTTTATTCAGGATACTTTTGTCTCATTTGAAAAAAAATTGGGCTATATCAATCGTAACATTTATTCTCCAATATATATCTGAGGGGTTATGGTCTCCCATTATTATACAATCATCAGTAGTAATTTTACATATAACATTAATTTAATATCTAATTGTCTAATATTAGAGAGACCTCTTCATATCTGAACTGGAGCATCCAGAGGGGCCAGAGGAATTGCCAGACCCTGAGCCAGGTGGTGGTGGGGAAGTAGGCTTCAAGTTCCTTTAAGGAGCAAAGCTATGGGAGGAAAACAGCAGGCTTGGAGGGCTACCCCTCCTCCATCCTTTCAGTGCCACCCAGAGCATGCCGACCAAGGCTCTGGAACACTCTTCATGACACTCCAGTAGCAATTTAAAAAGCCTGGCTGTCATGCAGTAGCAGTGGCCAGGAATTCAGGATCCTTTTGAATCACTGGGCCCTGGGGCACATTGCCCCTTTTGTCCCCTCCCTCCTTCCCCTGTCAGCAGGCCTGAGAGTATCTATAGTTGACCTCGAATGCTATCCCAGTGAAATATGTTAAATTCTTCCTCAAAGTGATTTTGACACAAACAAATCCTGGTGTGCATCTATCACTGTTTCTTTACCCTTTAAGGAATCACTGATGTACACAACTGCCCTGCCACCTTTACTTCTCTCTCACACACAGCACATGACCTTTGCCACCTATATTCTGGT